GTCGATGGCTCCTCTTCCGAAAGCGGCTTAGTAATAAGTTCATGACAGTATCTGGCAAGTTTCAGTCCCAATTTATCGTCGAAACGAATGACTGAACGAATCGTAGAGGGACAAACATTCTCATGAAATTGGCACTAACTACCGACTTTTCGGCAAATTAGCAATATCGGAGCACTTTTGGTGAGCAGTAAAAGCTACCGTATTTGGATGAGTAAGATTCCTGGCATCTGTAAGCCAACTGCTCAAATGATTATACGTTGACCGTCTGGTGATATCATATACCATCAATGCACCAGCGGCGCCTCGATAATACGAACGAGTTACTGCTCGAAATCTAAAGAAAAAAAAACATTTTCTCAAAAGAGCAAAGGCTCAAAAATACCACAAGTACAGAAACAGTCGCTTCTGACACATATTAAATAATTGTTTTTGACACATATTGCTTGTTTTGAAATGGTTGTTTTTTTGTTAAATGCTGATTTTGTGACATGCTATTGTTAAGGCAAATACAATATGATCAGAAGGCACTGGAGAAGCGGAAAAATAGCTGTTCCATAGACGACGAAATGAAGAAATAATAAGACCACCTGGATAACTAGAGATTTTGCGGTTATGTCAGCAAAAAAGAAAATTGCAGTTGGAACTTGTCCAACTAGCAGTATCAGAAAATTTCCAGTTTTTTCTAGCCAAACGTAGCGTAGAAAATTCGCTTAAACAGTATCTCGCAAAATTTTCTTAGATGCAGTTGAAACAAAGGCTTGCTCAACTGACAATATCAGAAAATTTGCGAAAATTTTCAATTTTTTATGGCCAGAGGTAACATAGAAAAGTCGCTTCCGCAGTATTTCATAAAATTTCCCGTGCTTACTCAACATTATTTCAGAAAAAAAAAATTTCATTCTTTCAAGATACCTGTATCCCTTTCTGGACATATTTCTATTCAGAGATTCCTTCGCCTTTTATTTTACCCATTCTGAAGTATCCCCTCCTTTCATTTTTTACTTAATTCATCACTCTTCAATTCTGATTACATCGCCTATGCATTTTCCCAATCCAACAAAAATTCACTCTTCTTAGTCAGTGGCATTCTTTTCATGGGCAATATTCCAACAAATGACATTCTTACCTTCCTCGATTAGCCGTTTTTCCAGAAATTTCGTCTTATTAGCTATCACTGTCAAAATATTTTACCTTTCCTGGCCAGCAGTATCCCAAATTTGTAGTTTGATTTTTTGCCCGCTCACTTCGATAATGCGTGTGCCAAATTCAACACCTATCGTATGCGGGCAGTCGGCCATAACTGCAAATAAAAATGCACTCAAAAAGTGGGCCTCCAAAGAATTTTTTGCTGGTTAATCGTTATTTCACACAACAGAGAATTCCTCAATTTGTAAGCTTCTCGCATACTATCCGATAAAATTCTCTTCCCGCTCCCTCTTCCTCCCTTTTCTTTTTTCTCATCCATAAAGAACACTTAAAGAGGTAATGTTTTTGAATTGATCGCTATTTGCCATTCTTAAGTCAACACTTTGTAGTACACTGCTCCCATTTACGCTATGTTCCTAAGTTATTTTTCGTCTCTACGTTATCACTTATTTCTAATGTGCCCCGAAAGAATACTACAACCCTTCCGGGGAAAAATGAAGTTAGACCTGCGTGCGAACGATAATTCCGCAACCCATCCCCGCATGCTGTTTTACTTCCCCGTTGATGGCCCCCTCTGACTTACCCTTCCCCTCCCCACCCCCTCCCTTAGAGGCTAATTTAAAAAAAAAGTTGATAACATCGTCTCTGGCAAATGTCGGTACCAATATGTCATTGAAAACCACTAGCGGATCAAATTACAAGGGCTGAAACGGCAAAGCAGCATTATTGTCATTCTAACAAATCCAAAAACATTGAAAAATAAACATGCATATATCTGCTCAAACAAAATGATTCTACAAAACAAATTTTAACAAGGCCATTCTTAGTAAAGATATTTAAAATCAAAACTTAGCGTCACTGTCGCATGCTTAAAAGTAATCCCTCCTTCCTCCACTCCGCTTCATATCATTTTCTCGTCTTCTCATTACTCCAGTGTCACATAATGATTTATTGCTTTTTGTCAGTATTTCGCAAAACCATCATTACTTGGTAGCCATCTCCCCTCCCCTCCTTTCTGTCCCCTCTCTTGCCTCGTTTAGTGGGATGTTTTTCGACAGTGGTGGTGGCCAGTCTCAATTCTTTTAGCTAGAAGTATTTCCTGGAAAAAACAGTACCATCAGAGACAAAAACTTGCGAGGAACTATGCAAAAAACGCATCTTCGCACTGGCAGCCAATACGCTGGCCAATTATTTAACGATATTTTGCAACTGCAAAACTAACATTTCTTTTCAGTGAATTGATGAAGCAGGCAGGACTTGCCGACGCCCATATCGCCAATTATGATATATTTGAAGATATACGAATAGTTATACGGTCCACTGGACGAGGACATGGCCAATACACACTAGCACACACACACAGACACAAACACAACCTGAAAGAATCAAGTATAAAAGCCAACGTTGTGAAGCTTAGCGTGCAGGGCTGTCCACGAGCTCAGCAAACTGATTCTCGAGTCTCATGTCGAACTGCAGAGCCAGAGGAGGAATGCCAGGCAGGGAAACGCCTCAGCGGAGAGCTGCATTTGGCGTGAACAAATGCGAAAGTAGACGAACAGAACCGAAGGTGCACCACGCAGACCCAGCAAACTGTACCAGCAGAAGAAAGCACGCAGCGAGGAGAAAACGTAAAACATGAGCAAATGAGGACGTATACATACCACACACACACACACACATACACACACACAAACACACACATACATACACACACACGAACATACACACATAATCACACACACATAATTACACACACACACACACACACATACACACGCATACGCACACAGACAACTGCTAAAACTCGGCTTATCCTGGTTGGGGGACAATTTGCAATACCGGGGGAAGTAGGCAAGAAGAGACGGGGCGAAGGCGGGGATGATTTAAGTCTCGGGGCTCATGACTCTGAAGGGGAGGGGGAGGGGGCAGGGGTTATTAGAAATAGAAATTTCGTTTGGGGATAAAAACAGGCATGAATAGTAGAATAGGAGGATTGGACTTAGGTGTCATGTATAAAAAGACATTTTACGATGCAGTCTGTGTTTCGCCATCTACCGTGCGGAGGATACTGCCGATTTCCGTAGAAGAATAGACTGTACCAATAACCAAATGATCGTGCGTGGTTAACTTGACGAATGTTCTTAGTGGTGATATGAAGAGCATCGGCATGAGCGTTGTGAAAGCACAGGGAGAAGAGATCAAATTTGATGCTGACGGGAAGTTAGCAACCATGGAGAACAACTATCTTCGCAGCTCGAACCGGAACCCAAAAACGCATAAAGGAATGAGTGGATGTTGTGCAGCTGAGCCGAGTTTTAGGCACACACACACACTCACCCATACACACACACATACACACACCCCCACACATACACACACCCACACACACACACACACATACTGAGAGATAGGACGCAACGAAACACAGCTGTCCCAAATTGCGGTATCATTTAAAGAGCACAAATACCACACCCCCAAATATCCGGTAGTTCGCGGATGAGTTGCTAATTTACTGTTTGTTATTATTTCAGTTATACAGCTGGCAACTTCTCCATTTGCTTTGAACAGTGCTGCTTTATCGGTCTTCTGGCGATCGTAGCATTAGTCCCCTCTCCCCAGCCTATCCACACCTCCTGCGTCGTCCCCTCCCCCCTTCCACGCTCCCCGCCTTCCAATCCTGAAGCACCCGGCAAAGCTTTCAGCTATTTCGATATGTCCTCGGCATTTGTTGAACTTCTCAACTTCATCCTGAACGTTGCCACTTCTAAATCACGACGAGACACCTTGCATTCTTTTCGGGAAAGCGAAAAAAGTGAGGGGAAGAATGGAGAAGGGCAGGTCAGGGACCGGGGGGAGGGAAAGGGCTCATCTGAAAGACCGAGGGAAGAGGGAAACGAGGGTCAAAGTCGACATTAACCTAACTCATTCCACACTACTCTTTCCATTTCTCTTTCGTGCCGTGGTTTTTAGCTTACAGTTTTCAAATAAATACACCCAGAGCCTACTGTTGCTACTTCAGCCATCCTTTACCTCCCTCCCTCCTCCTTCCTTTCTCCCCTCCTCCCTTCTCCAGCCCCTCCCTCTTATCCTTTTCCCTGCCACTTAAACTCAGCACATTTGAACTGTGATAAGGTCTGGCCTGATTTTCCCCTCTCTGCAAAGGAAGAGCTGTGAATCGATTCAGGAAATGGCAAGCACTGATGAAAAATTGTCTGGAAGTATCTGTTAGGTAAGGATCCGAACAGTACAAGCCCGCTTTAAAGCATTTTTTTTCACACCAACACGCACAGGATTTAAAGGTTTACTTCAGCACAGAAATGACATAGATAATTGCACACCAATTTTATAATATCCGATTTCTTTTACCTTTTCATCAGCTCTCACCTTTTTTTATGCGTTTTTTGCAGCTATGCAATGCAAAAAACGCATATTGACGAGAGGTTGTCTGTG